CTCTTTAATGTTGCATAAACATCTGGCACGGTGGGGGTGGGGAGGGGGGTCTCAGCCCAAACGTGGCATCTTGTGTTTTGTGAGACGACACAGGGAGGGGGCCTTGATAAGTGTCCCCTGCTATTTCACCGACAGCTCTTGTCGAGAATCCAGCAGGTCCCGTATTGGTTGTATCAGCCGTTCTGCAAAGCATGTCTCTCTACAGCGGGGGAGGATGGGGGGGGGGGGGCTCCCCCTCTTATCAGAGCGACATGGGAGGTCAGCTGACAACACAAAAATGACAGAGACGGTTACGATCTTTCAGCGTATTATCTGGGCACAGAAAAAGCAATAATTCTGCTGAAGTCGTTATTTTTTTGTCCCGTAGTATGAGGGTTTAAGAATGGACGCAGTCGTTTGCGTTACTCACACCAAACATGGTGGTTAAAATAAAAAATGTATTTACTCCTGTTGCAATGAGTATTTCGGGAACGGAGGCATTAGCATCAGCATTACTGGGGAATCGAATTAGGCTAAGCTAAGCGTAGCGATAGCTTATCGTTAGCTTGTGCTGCTATCGGGAGGCGAGATAAAGTCAGTGCAGAGATATCGAAGGAGCTGATTCGCACTGAATCACTACTGGGAAAAGCAGCACTGTAATATTCCTGTGTATTTATCAGGGAATTAAAACTGTCGGCACTCTGGAGTGATTAGCATGTGACAGACCCAAACTAGAAGGTGTGGGGGGTGCTGGGGTCAGGGAGATAACATGACTGATTGACAGCTGAAGAGCGCGGAGATGTCCATGGAGTACGTCAATCTCCCAGCCTCGCGTTCTCATGTGTCCAGCTGAAAATTCTTAAAAGCATTCCAGGCAGTCCTGGCCCGAAGAGCACTCAGTGTTTGTTTAGGGTGAACATAAGCAAAATATTCAGCATTTCTATGAGCGTATCATAAAGCCACAAAGCACCAGTGCACTCATCCTTTGCACTTATCCTTTGCACTTTAAGTGTGCCAAAATACTTTCCATAGCCAGGTGATATTTTAAAACATTGCACTGGTTTATTGTGAATGCTAACAAGATATTAAGAATATATATTACATTACAGTTAGAGACAGCTATGAATAAAGTATATTCTAAGATACTAAATCATTTATTTAAGGTCTATGCCGAAGATCAAAATGTATTTAAGACAATGTCTTGGGTCATATGTCTTCTGTAAGAGGGTGTAGGAAGGAAGGGGTAAATGACCCTGTAATTATTACTAAGAGGAACAAACTAGTGATTGTTCACTGTTTAGATGGTTTCTCACCCATGAGAGACTCCCTGAGGACATTTATGGAGTGAGACCCTAATCTCTTCTGGGTCAGTAGAGGTAGCCCCTCATTTCCAGCTTAATTGGCTGGAGTGGAAGCATCTAGATAAGGGTGGAGATTTGCTATGTACCTATTTGAACGGTCAGCCAGAGGAGGTCACCTGACTTACAGAGTGGAGCCCCTCTGCCGCCATTTAAAAAACCCCAATAAACGTGAACTTTCATTTCGTGACGTAATTGATTTAACAAACTCATTTAATGTTTGAGTTGAACGAAAACCAGAGCCGTCTCCCATACTTCAGGACCACAGTTACCAGCTGCGCTATCAGCTAGAGCAGCAGATACTGTCACTGTTGGGTGCTAAATAAGACAGCCTGTCTGGCAGGGCTCTCCTTTCACTGGCTTCGAGGTCAATGAATCGCCGCAGCACACGATTTTACAGGCGCTGTCGACACTGATGTGTTGTGGCTACGTAACTCTGCTCTTCAGGTATTAATGCGTCTTCAAGGATCTTGAAGCCTTTTGCAAAAAAGGATATTAAAAAGACGGTACTCGTAATTGATGTGTTGAATGCAGAAGAAGCAGACGGGGGTGAAGACCTGAATGACATTGATAAGGGGCAAATCATCCAAAGCGGCAAGGCTTGTGGGGTGCTGATGGCCAGCTGTGGTGAGTACCTACTGAGCATGCTCTGAGGAGGCTGTGGTGACTACCTACTGAGCATGCTCTGAGGAGGCTGTGGTGAGTACCTGCTTAGCATGCTCTGAGGAGGCTGTGGTGAGTACCTACTGAGCATGCTCTGAGGAGGCTGTGGTGAGTACCTGCTGAGCATGCTCTGAGGAGGCTGTGGAGAGTACCTACTGAGCATGCTCTGAGGAGGCTGTGGTGAGTACCTACTGAGCATGCTCTGAGGAGGCTGTGGTGAGTACCTACTGAGCATGCTCTGAGGAGGCTGTGGTGAGTACCTACTGAGCGTGCTCTGAGGAGGGAAAACATACGAACTGCTGCCATTTTTACAAATCAACATTATTTGCTTTGGATACATCTACCTATAGAAAGGCTTATATGTACTAATTTCTACATTTTAGAAAAATTATAAAGATATCAAAACTATAAAACAATAGATATGGATCATGTACTGATCAAAACAAGAATGAACCAAATAAATTATAATTTGCTGGGGGGGCAGTTCTGTGGGTTGGTACTCAGAAGGTTGCTGGTTCAAATCCCATGGTCAGCAGAGTGATCCCACCATCGGGCCCTTCAGCAAGGCCCTTAACCCCAATTGCTCCAGGAACTGGCTGACCCTACTGTCTCCTCTACACCAGCTTCATGAGGTGACCTCCTGGGATGCTTGTCCAGCTGTCCTGAATGAGCTCCCACATATATGCTGAGCTCTCATTGGCTGCTTTTCCTTCACTCTCTGGTCAAACTTCCCCAAAACCATCTCTACTGTGTTTAGGTCAAGTAGCCAGGTCATGTAATGCAACACTATCACTCTCCTTTATAGGCAACTTGACATGTTCAAACTTTTGACTGGTACTTTGTATATGTATTGTATATAATTTCATGAAAAATGTACCGACTCCTATAACAAAACATTTATCAAACATATAATTTCTCAAATGCATTTCTTTTCTGACATTTTTTTCCAGAGATGAACGACACATACACAACAGTCCTATGAAAAAACAGATGTATTCAGACACAGACGGATGCTGCTGGTACCAGATGATGAAGGGAGTGAACTGGTAACAGCAGATAAAGGAGACGGACGTTAAAGGTCATTCCACAACCGAGGGGCCGATAGTCAGGCGGCCGCACTGATCTGAGCCAGGCAGGGTGGCTTTGAGGAAGCGTCAGGCTACCGAAAGAGGAGCAGCCATGGTTTGAAGGCCTGTAGATGAAGGGTGAAGTATCTCCAAGGCAGGAGTACCGCAGGACCAAGTGAAGATTTCACCTAGGGCTCGAGAAGATCATGAACGTGAGTCCTCTGTCATCAGGAGGTCTGGTGGCAACTGGGGAGATCAGTGGAGCCCTACAAGATAAAGTCTGGTGGGAAAGGCCCCAGCACTGACCTGTAGTAGGTGATGAGGATTAGTAGACTCTTCTGGAAGCTTCTCTAAAGCGGTCAATGAAGGGGGACTTTGTGTACACTGACCAGAAGCAGAAGATTAGTAATACCATGGTTATAGAACGGTCCTGCAGGATTGATCGTCAGACAGGCGTGCATGGGGGGAGAGATGGCATAGGATAGAACTTCATCGATGAGGAGAGGCTGATCTAGACTCTCATCCAAAAGATGATCCAAGAGATGAATGGGATTTGGGATTTAGATACTGGCATTCCTAATTTTATTCATATTTAGAATCAATGTGAAGACTCAGTGAAAATCCACATAAAATTGACTTTCAGGATGCAAAAACACAAGGACCAGAGAGCAACCAAGATTACAATTATTTTTTTAAATAGACACTTTTATCCAAAGTGATGCACAATTGAAAGCAGCGTCATCCAGTCCTTGGAGCAATTAGGGTTAAGGGTCTTGCTCAAGGGCCCATTGGTGAAATCACTCTCCCGACCTTGGGATTTGAACCAGTGACATCTGAATCAACATCACGGCCTCCTGACCTGCTAAGACACACACCTCCCCCAAGATATAACACAAGCGGAGACCAAAAGTGATCCTCCCATGAAATCGTGCATTCGCACACCTGTAAGGATGCGTGTGTGTAAAAATGCCGGTAGACAGGATGTGGTCTCTCTGTGGCCATGCTCTGTTGTCACGGTAAACGCCGTTGCACGGTTTCAGAATTCCCTCTGGCTGATTTTCCATAGTCTGATACACATGCGACTAACAGGAAGCCAGGAGAAGGAATGCGGTGCGTTACCGCTGTGCAAACACACAGGGCTGCTGATGTCTGCCCCCCGGCCCCAACGATCTGCTCCTGGGGATTGCCACGGGGAAGCGGACACACGACGACCTCAGGCACGGCGTGTTAAACACATTACAAATATTCAAATTGCTCCCGTCAGCTGGACGTGGGGGTGGTCTCGATGCCAGGGCTGGGGATCCCAGGGGTATCTCTGAAGGCCAGGCCACATTTTAATGGCCTTTTTTTTGGAAACTGCTGGTAAATCGAAGCTCCTGCCATTAAAACGTTGAGGGGGGATTCAGGCATGTTAGCAATTGTTAGACGTGATGGAGGCGAAATTTCTTGAAATGTTAAATGGTATGCGTTTAGCTTTTTGAAATTGGAATTTTTTTCCCTCCATCTTTGTGAACGCTGCCACAACAGCCAGGTCCACGCAGCCCTTTCCAGCCAGGGTACCCCCGAGAAGTAGCATCGGGGAACTATAGGGTTAAGCAGATAGCAGGAGCTTTCAGCAGAACTTGAAACCTACAGTCTACAGCACCGCACTCGGTATGGAAAAATAATTACGCTCCCCTTTGAAGGGGACTGCATAAACACAACAGCTCCTTTTGTGCTGTTTTTCAACTGTCCCTGTCCACCGAATTCCAGGCCGACGTGCCGCTTATCTGCTTTTCCACTCTATGTCCCCCCTTCACTCTCTCCCTGGGTTTATATCTCTCTGCATGTTGGCTCTTTGAGCTTGATCTCAAGCGGTGTGCCTGGGGCAGAAGTCTGTGTCGGTGGGGGGGGCACGGTGGTGCGGGGGCCAGGTGATCCATGGGTCATTTTTTACAGTTTTTGTAATGGGTGTTTCAAACCAAGGCGGGCCTGCTGGAATTCTTTAATTGCGTTCGATAACTTCGTTGTGTCAACAGAACGTCTTTTTCCCTCGGGACTCCTGAAACGGCTTTTGTACCGAGAAAGAAAAGTCCAAATGCCGCCATTGTCGTGGCCTTACAATCAATTTCAGTTGTGCCTTTCTCTCCTTTCTTGAAAGTTATTGCCTGTGAGAAACTGCGGGGAGATCTTTTCTTTTTTTTTCCCTTTTTTGAGCACCAGGTGAAAATGCCATAAATGTACAGTAACACATGCTATTCCAATTATTATGTTATACTGCCGCGGACCTGGTCAAAAACTGCCATTTTCAAATGCGCAAAGACCCCCGAGCACGAAATGTGCAAACCATGATATCCTGCAACTTTGTTTTGACACTTTAAAGGCTGTAACAGCAAGGAAAAGGAAAATCACGGCCTTTTATTAACGCGGTGTGCTTTCGCTACAGTCGTAACTGTGTCATTGGTCCTTATAGGTCTCCCAGAAAGTATCCTCTTAAGGAAAACTTCCAGAGATCTGTAGTCTTTCAGTGACTAAGAAAATCTTGAAGGTTTGTAAAATTTTTAACCCCTTTTATCTGGCATTGCAGCTTTTACCCATATTTCTGCACTTTCTCAATGCAAATATTCTATAAATAGTTTACTTTCCAGCTTAGCAAAGAAAATTTTTTTTGTTGCTTTGTCAAGCGTCACATGACTTGCTTAACTTAAAAAAAATAATTTAGAATTTTGCCAAGATTTGTCAAGACTGTTATTTATATTTTCATTTTCAGATTGTTTAGTGGTACAGAAGAATATTCATAATCACACAGAACACCATCTTCATGATTTCTCTCTTCCTATGTTGAAGTTTTTATGAAATTCCATACATTCATTTATCTTAGACGGGGGGGGGGCATTTCACAGGCACCCTGGATGGGATGTCAGTCCATCAAAGGGACCAGCCAACTTGTCCCATAGATCTAAGCAGACCTGTGCTGGTGTCTCCCCAGGACTAACTGACAGAGCATCACGCACACAGGTATCCGGGGGGGGGTTTCGGAGTGAAACGCGATCTGAGAGGGGCAGCGATGCCACATGGTGCGGCACCAGACCCGAATTTCCCCCAGGACCACTGAAGCTCTGCTTCTTTCTTCCCTCCCTTTTCATGGTCCTCTCCCTCCCCGGGTCGGGCAGCTGTGCGGTGCGACCGGGGGCCACTTAACGGGGCCTCCCGAGGCCAAGATGAAAGAGGAAGGGATGGAGAGAGCCTGTCAAACGCATCGCGGCGCAGAGGACGGAGCGCCGCAGAGCACCGGAGAGCGCAGGACGCGATGCGCCCCAGCACCGGGAACAGTGTCTGCTTTTATGGACTTTGTTAAAGCATTTCCAGGGCCGCATCCGATGTGTTTACAAGACTGTAAATCATGCCACATTCACGAGACGAGCGCAATAAAGTAGGAGGACACACCAAAGCCAGGTGGGAGGGGGTACAGTAGACCGAGGCCAGTAAATGCTCCTTTATAGGTACAGATACAGAATAACTCACTGTGGTACTTTGTGTTGGAAATGCTTCCCTAGTGTTTGTATAATTAAAGACCTCAGGACGCCATTTATGTTTCACTTACGGCTTATTGATGCACAATGGTCTTAGTTCCTGTGGTTTCATTTGATTTGAATCCCACTCAGCTGCTACACTGTCAATAAAACAATAATAAGAAGTGCTGCGATTATTCCATCTGCGTTTAAGCTCAGACATGTTGTACGTAAACTTCTCGGTTTGTTAATCCCTCCATTGGTCTTCCGTGATGGCCTATCGGGTAGAGGGATGCAGCCGGCGTCCCAGGCCACAAGGCAGGGGACACCCTAGATTGGATCCCATTCAGTTCACTAATTCTATTGATTTGCTAATGTGTGCATCGATTTAGCCATTTTTAAATTTCAGTTTCATCGTTAAAGAATTGCCCTTCCATCCAACTTCCAGCCACTTATCCAGTACAGATATTTCCTTCCAAAGAATCCAAATCCATTTACCATAAAAGGGTATAACAGCCAGTCCCTTGGGGGTGGAGTTTGCATGTTCTCCCTGTCTAGTCGTGGGGTTTCCTCCAGGTATGCCACTCCCCCCCCCCCCCCCCCCCCCC